GCTCACGCAAGTAAGACGTTACGAATACAAATATATCATTTGCCGCACATGATAAATTCGTGTTAGAAAAGGTGCTCCACGAACCAGTCTCAATTTGAACAGAGTACGTGCGTGTACGTTATCTTTACAAATAGCAAATCCGTACGACATACATTCAGATGAAGATCGAATAACAGTATAATCCAACACAGTAACAATATGGACATTGTACGCTGCATACTATATGTGACTGAAAAAAATGTACGTTACTGAAATGTACACTACTTACTAGTATAACAAATCGGAGGTTAAAATGGAAAAACAATCATTTCTTCTAAGCCCACCAGGTGTTTCCTGTTGACCCCAACTTGAATGACGTCGGGTTGGTTTGATTTGTCGAACTACCCCGTCAAACTAATTTCAAAGTAATTTGCAATTCACATTCATAAAACAGTTGTAGTACTACATATTGCTTGATATGCGATTGAAAAAAAGCAGTGAACGATTAACGGTTTAACTTCGTCGTCAATTTTCACGGATTTGGTCGGTTCATTCAACAATCGCAGGAATTTTGAAATATTCAACTCAATGCATTGTGCAGTTTAGACTACTAAGATTATCCTATATTTGTTGTTCATTAGTTACATAGTTTCTGTCCAAACTATACACGTTTTGTTACATTTCTTTATCACTTGTGACTCGTGATGACTATTGAACCATGTCTCAGATATAATGGCAAAATCTAGAGCTGAGATTCAGCGTACATACAGGAAAAGAAAAGCACAGTAATACAAACGCATATTGTAGTGTACTTTAGAAGTAAAGAGAACCAACATGTAGTTGCAGTTGCAGTGCCAGATGAAACATCACATCACACGTAATTCTTCAAATTTGATAACAAAAATAATTTCACTGGAAAGTCGTGTTGAGGTTATCCCTTATTGGACAGACAATCCCACCAGTCAATATCGTAACAAGATTTACCATACCATTGCTAACTATGAAACAATATTTGGAATGAAAACATGATGGAAGTATTTTAGGCAGAGCCTGGCAAAGAATCATATATATATATAAAAAAAGTTTATTTTCTAGTGTGTTAGCAGAAATGTCCATGATATTCATGCCTCTGGAAAGTCGAGAATTGTCCGGAGAGGATCTTGCGATCATTGAGAAACAAAATCAATGACAAACTTAAGTGAAAGTTTGGTTACTAGAGAACAGATCGATATAGCTGGTATGATGACAACAGTTAAAATGTAAGTGATATTCGTCTGTATGTACAACAGCATATGTTTTGAACACCTGGTGATCATGTACAAATTGCATCAAAATAGAAAGTTCACATTAAGTACAAATATTGAGTTCAACAACGCATGCACAGTACAGTATAAAGGCTTATATAGTCAATATCTGCTGATTATGTTTAATATATAAAAGTCATACAGGTGTAGAGTAAAGGCACCACTATGTGAAAATGATACGTGCGTGACGGTGTGCAGATGACACTGCAATTTATATTGCCAATTTGGCTAGTAACAATATAAACAGCCATGCATGGCACAATCCCTGTTAGTTATCAAATTTATAATACATTGGTCCCATAATGTCTAATGTATTTACCAAGTTTGAACAGTAAACAGCCGAGATTCCATTCCGGAATTGCTGGATTTTGATGATTTTTCAGTACAAAAATGACCGTCATTTTACAATCTTGAATCAGATTGTGAAACAAATCGGTGCGTATATGTATAATATTATGTATGATGTATGTGTGAAGTTTGAATGTAATCAGTCCTGGTATGTCTAAGATATATGTCTGAACGCATACACATCAATCCATAAGTCCCCGTTTTTGGACTGCGTCCAAACAGGGACTAAGAAACATACATTACAACAGAATCCAGTTTGACACATTACACTCACTAGCAAGACAGCAAGAAGAACAATTCTGCCGAGAAAATTATTATTGTAATCATTTTTATTTAGCACCACTCAAAGAATGATAACAATTGAATATTCACACATGTAGAGAAGCTGGCAATATTACACTCGTCAGAGAAGGTACTGAATGAACATTTTGCCCACAAAAAGTCTATGATGTTTATACTACAATTGTAAAACATACAAACATGAGTCAAACAATACAAATGCACCAAGTATATTTGAAAGCAACTTATCAAGGGTCTCATTGTATTTCATCAAATTTATTATGTATAATTATGTGATTAATATAATTAGGTTTCTGAACACGATGTAATTATTTAGTTAGTAGTATGAGTATGCGTCAGCATAGTCTGTGTTAATGCTGGGCAACGATGCGTCAATCTTAATCTCCTACACATGACTTGCACAACGCACGCGAGTCGTAACCCCCCTCACATGACATCAACGTGTGCCCCCATTCAGAGGCAATTAATCAAAAATATTAATTTCACTAATGTACCGTATATTAAGTGAATATGCTTCCGTAAACAAATTATTGAGAAACTTACCATGTGAATCATTAGGTGTTTTCTGTACATAAAATATGACTAAAATATGCATCTCTATTGTAGCTGTGTTTCTAATGGAGCTAATGCGGTACATCAACATATACAAGAATATATGATATAGGTTTATACAAGTTATTATTTTGATTCATATAGCTGGCAGATAAGTACACATTCAGAAGAAAAAAAATAGTTTAAGCTAAATGGAAAATATTGAACACAAATGATATTTATCATACAGCCATTGATGTAACCACAATGTAAAGAATACACAGAGGGAATCGAAGATACATCAAATCAACACACCGCCACATCTGAATATTAAAACATAGTTGCAATATTGTAAATTCATAAACATAAATAAAACTGTTTTAATACAGAAGCATTTACATTATAACTAATACATATAACTAATACATTCACCCTCCTGTTGAAATTCACCAGTCCAAAAAAATTAGATACTATGAAAGATGATTTCAAATCATAATATTATGTATTATGGATATTATGGATTTGGATATACTTTTAGATTTGGGGAAATATATGTTCAAGTTTAAAGATGCAAAATGGATGAAAACACGTTATTTTATTTAATATTTGGTTTGATACTGTATCAGTTGATGATTAATTCAATTTACAATTAATTTCAACCCTTTGAGAATCAAATTGTTTCTACTCAAAAATGATTTAATTTGTTGCCATTTTCTGTAAGTTTTACAGAATTCAGTCTTAATTTTGAACAAAACAAACTAAATATGACATTGCCTTTAGTTTTTAATCGAAAAGTTAGAAACTTTTTGACAACATTATGTTGAAAATAGCAGACTATAAACGTTTGTTATTCATAGGAGTGCTTATATCGATTATCACATCTTATTTTCTGTTACGATAGTTTATGTATTTTATTGGTATGTTTGCAAATGTGTATTAGACTGTGCAGCAATCATCTCCATGAGTTGATATTGAAACTAAGTCTATTATTCCCATGGGATTTGATATTCATTACCGGTACAAGATACATGTAAATGATTCACTTCATTGAACATATACACGTACAGCAATACAGCAATGCATATTCCCTCTGAGACCAGTGACCTCTGAAAGTGTATCACCAATAATCAGTCAAGTAGAAACAGGCAAAATTTTTATCAAATTTTGACTTCTACTTTCTCAATTTTTGACATCTGTCATTTGCACCATGCAAAGATTTTATACTGATAAATTTAGGTGACTGAGTTAGACACAGTTTGGAATAGTGTTGTTATTGTTATTGTGTACATATTAACAACATTGACCAATTTACGTATGTATAATTTTCGCAATTTAATACCTTAATGGCATTTATGATTACAAATTTTCAGAAAGGACACCAGAGAAATGTTCATTGCATCAAAATTTCTAGAAAAAAACGTCTCTCCTGTAATAAAAACGTTATACAGTAACTGTGCACAATGATGTAATTTCTTCACATTTTTGCCCACCAACATGCTTTGCATATAAGTATACCTTTCAATCTGATAACAATTTGTCCCCAAGTTTCAGTGACCAGGATTCACAAAAATCATAATGAAAAAATACATTATTTTATCTTTGAGTGTGTACAACTACGCATACACGCAAAATGTAATCCCCTTTATAATATAATCTTTTTCTTTGATTTTCAAGTCTAAAAGTTTAAACATTGGCAGGCAAAGAAATACGAGCATGTCCGGATACCATATAACAAAATAACAGCAGTCTCTGAGTATAATAATGAATAATAAGTGTAGATCGACTGATAATATTGCTATACATTATCTCATACTAAATTTCAGATATGAGCTTTATTACTCAAAAGCTTTTTTTTTAAATTTAATCATACTGTACTCTGAGCTATAATAAAGATATGGGCAGAAACTTTTCTGAACAATTGTACATGTAAATATAAATACAGTAAAGGTAACTGTTCTTTATAATTAAAACTTTTTCTAATTATCCTTTTTCCCATAGTGAAGACATCTTCTAATCTGTTTTCATATAGTGACATTGTTAAAAAATATATAATATGATAGCATGGGTTTTAGAAAAAAGGTTGGGAAAGAAATAATAATGCATTATCATGATAGGCTCTTTGAAAATGTTTGCATAATATTCAATCTATTTTTTCCAAAACATAGTTTTGTACCACAAAAGAGATGTCATTCACTAACACCATAGATACACTGATCTCAAGTTAAAGATTAAATATTGATTAAATATAATTGTGATTATTAGCTTTTTTCTCAAAAATTATGAATAGGCTTCTATATGTATTTTAAAGTGTTTGAACAGACAATGTATTTCACTTGGAACCCATAATCACACAACCAACACTTAGAAACAGAATGACGATATATGTTATACATTTGATTTAAACATCAGAACAACCACAAGTGTTGTGCTTCTTACGAAAACTTGTTCTGCATCGCTGATGTCCACTGAAAATATATGGCAATATTTGTCTGTTGTGATTAAAAAAAAATATAAATATTTCTGTATTTACATCTGGTATCATCTTTTTCCTCTGGTACACGACTTGCAACACTTAATTCCATAGAACTTGTGATCACATACATTATGCCGAGGTACAAGGTGGCACCAATCAAATAGATCCACACAGTCTGGATCTGAAACAGAGATCATTCACTCATTTATTATAAACCCACTGAGCACCATATTTTATACATTTTTCCCGGCTAACATTTTGTCATTTTTTATGTATTTTCTACATTTTTGGGGGATAATTGTGTACCAAATGGACATAATTTCTTATTCGTTACAAGTCTTAATCAAAAGTTTAGGGAAATTATGAAAAAATTAAGTGAGTTTAACATTTGTGAATTATGAAAAAAAATTGACAGGTTCATAAAAAAAAAATGATATTGAGTCATTCTTTACACATCTTCTTTTGACCGATTTCATGTTAAATTTGTACTTTGAGATCATTCGTATAGCTTTGTAGAAGTCACTACTGATGTGAAATTGTTGATGGTGTGAACCAAAACATTCTAAGCTCAATGATTTTCAGTACGCTTGGATGATGGCAACAGTTTTGGCTTCCCATGTGAGTGTTTGTTTAGATATCATTTGCCTAATATGTTTTTGAATATCGATCAAATGTACATGAATTCACAAAGATTTGCCTCTGTTTGAAACTCAATGATTCATCAAATATTTTCCTCACATTGCATACAATCAAATACAGCACACATGGTAATAGTAAAGTAATTAGACATCAGTAAAGCTTTAGAAAGTATCTTTAAAAATGCAACTTTAAAAATGCTAGCTATCTTTATAGTTAATACAAGATTTTCATCATTTCACCCAAAATATTAGTTTCCTTATATTTCATACATTTTTATTGATTTCTCAATAGTGAGTGTTAATATAAATTAGTTTGATTTCCAATATTTTAAAATATAAAAAAAATTAAAACTTATTCATTAACCACTATTATATGATATACCAGAGAAACAAGTAGTGTTATTTTGAACAGGTTTGGATCACTTAAAGGTTTTTGAAATGTATCTATTGAAAATAAAGATGACAAAATTAATTTTTAAGTTGGGAGAGATTAGTATATATTATTTTACTGTCTATTACATGTGGAAATTACTGTGTAGATAAAATTACCGATGGCACAGCATGGGGTCACCATGAGAAAGGTGCTGTAAGGAAAAGAAAAGCATGCACATTTGTTTAAACAAAACCAAAATTATTTTGTTTCTTTAAATAGTCATGTTTATGAAACCTTTTAAGAGCTGCATTAGGAACCAACATTTACTTTTTAGCCACCATTGAAAAACCAATTATTAATAATTAGCAATAATCAATATTTGCAAATAAATCTTATAGAATGTGTGTTCAGTGTAATAATGAAAAATACAAATAATTGGAGAATCCCTAGATTAAATAAATTATTGTTTTGCACTGATAACTAGTAGCTTATTGAATAGTCAAATGTGAATACTCTTGCTCATTCAGATGTCATGTTTCATACAGTTTTTACTGCATGCTGCCTAAATTAACGTACAAATTAGGTTTTTCGTTTTTATGTTTTTTATTGTGACTAGGGTGAATGGTAAACTTAGTTTCGACATTGAGTTGTTATAGCCGTAAAAAGTATTAACTGTTGCTTGAATGCTCAGTTTATCTTTTGAAAACTATTGATTTCTTGATTAAAAAAATAAATTATGCTGTTTTACCACTAAAATCAATGCCAAAAGATCATACTACATTTAATATGATGAAACTAAATTGAATTTTACTGTTGATTTTTTGTACATTATTATAATCACGACTGAGTAAAAATTAAGAATCGCAACAAGTAATGTATTCACTTGTGAAATGCATCATGACCAGACTCTTTTAGGCTACACGTACATGTATACGTTTGGTCACCAACAAAATTTAAACTAAATACATATTACATTAAAATCACTGAGTACTATTTGTTATCATGTGGAAATACCAACATTTTCCCTATAAATAGCCAAAGCCTATTTTACAACTTTTTCACTCTTCCTTGACGTCCATCTGGAGTGATGCCTAAATTTACAGTACCATGTTGGGCAACAAATATTTTCATAATTCTTAGGACTAACAGAATTCAGTTTAGGTGAAAATGAAATATATTTGTTTTGAATGGTGATCAGAAATAGCTTTGCTATATAGACAGTTGAAAATAGCATTTTTGACCAAAAATGACAAAAATATTCACTTTCACTAAAATTAGAAAATTGAACTTAATGTTACAAAACGAACAACAAATCTGTCAAAGGTCCACATATAAGGTCTACATACAAGATGTCAAAGCAATTGTGCTTTACCAATATCAAAAAGAAGTCGCAAATAACAAGTAAACCAAAAAGTTACAAATTAAGACATTTGTACACAAAAATTATAAATCTGAGTGTATTGTCACAAAGTGAACAAATATATCATAGGCTAATCCAAAGTAAAAAATAGCAAAAATATTCCTCCATACTAGAGATTCGAAAATATCTTCACAAATACCCAAGTATAATTAAAGCATGAGGACTTGTCGATTGTTTGCTTATTTATTTATTCAATTATTTATTTATTCAATACATTAATTATTAATTAATTACAGCGAGCGCAAGATATTTACATACATCTAACTCTCGTACGCGATAGGCAATTACCGAGGGACTTTGCAACATCCCCAGACGCTTTCCTATACACTCCAATGACCGTTGTAGACGCAATAAAGTTACATACACGCCTACGTGACAGTTAATCAAAACACCAGACGCGGTATGCCTTTGATGTGTGGACACGAGGAACAGGGGTAGTTGGAATATTCCATTGCTTTGTAGGTATAACAATCATTGCTGTGTAACACTTGGATGAAATATAATACGAACATAAACCTGGGAATGAATATTAACAAGAAATGATAAATGAAAATTCTTTTGATTGGTAGATTGTTGAGATGTTGTAAATTGATTTATATTAATAATATTAGCGTTGTGAGTGTCCCGTTCAATGCTGGTCCCATTGCCAGTTTGCCAGAATATTCATCGCCCAGTTAATCTTTCCCTGGAATCTTCTACTTAGTT